TATAAAATTCAAAAGGGTTGTTTTGGCTAACCTGGGTCTTTTGTTTTTCCATATAAAGTTGATTATTATCCTTTCAAGGTCAGTGAAGAATTGTGGTGAGATTTTAATGGGGATTGCAATGAATCTGCAGATTGCTTTTGGCAAGATTGCCATTTTTACTACGTTTATCCTACCTATCCAAGAGCATGGGAGATCTTTCCATTTTCTGGTATCTTCTTTAATTTCTTTCTTTAGAGCCACAAAGTTCTTATTATATAGGTCTTTTACTTGTTTGGTAAGTGTTACCCCAAGATACTTTGTGTTGCTTGTGGCTATTGTAAAGGGTGATGTTTCTATGGTTTCTTTCTCTGTCTCGTAGGGCTACTGATTTTTTGAGTTTATCTTGTATCCTGCTAGTTTGCTGAAGGTGTTTATCAGCTGTAGGAGTTCCCTGGTAGAGTTTATTGGGTCGCTTATGTAAACAATCATATCATCTGCAAAGAGAGACAGTTTGACTTCTTCCTTTCCAATTTGGATCCGCTTGATCTTCTTTGGTTGTCTTATAGCATTAGCTAGAACTTCCAGTACGATATTAAAGTGATAAGGAGAGAGAGGGCACAGCCTTGTCTTGTTCCTGATTTTAGAGGAATTGGCTTAAGTTTGTCTCCATTCAGTTTGATGTTGGCAGTTGGTTTGCTGTATATTGCTCTTATTATGTTTAGGTATGTTCCTGTCATCCCTGACCTCTGCAAGACCTTTATCATGAAAGGGTGTTGAATTTTGTCGAAAGCTTTTTCAGCATCTAGGGAGATAATCATATGGTTTTTCTTTTTCAGTTTTTTATATGGTAGATCATGTTGATAGATTTTTGTATTTTAAACATACAGGAGCAAACACCCATACATAAACACTGAGTCGAACTAGAACCCAGATGCAAATGGAGAGGACAAGACCAGGTGGCAGAAACACATAGAAACAGCTGACCTGGTAGCTGGGAAGCCAGCATGGGACTGACTCAGGCCCCCCCTGTATATGGGTCTCAGCCAGAAAGACTGAGCAGTCTAAGGGACCTCAGACAGTGGAACCAGGATGTATCCCTGGTGCAAAAAAGGACCTTGCTAAAACATCCCCCATGGAGGGATAACTGCCTTAACCTAGAGACAGGAGAGAAGCCATAGTCCCTACTTCACATGACCTTTCAGATCTACATGACCCCAACTGGATATCATTCCCCTACATATGGAATTGACATGGGGGAATGGGAGGAGAGAGTGGTTAGGGTGCATGTGAGAGGGCAGAGAGGGTAAAAGGGAGGGAGAGAGAGAGGGAGGGAGGGAGAGAGACAGGGAAGGAAAGGGAACAGGGACCAAAATGTAAAATAATGAATTAAATTAAATAAAATGCTTTGACTCCAAAATTTAAGTTCAAGGACAAGTTACTGGGGAAAAGGATTTCTATTTTTGCTTCCACAGAAAATGAAAAGCTGTGGATTCCTTCCAGACTAATGTGGTTTGATCAAGCCAGACCACCTGAAGCAGAGTACCAGGTGATCCTACGTTCAAAACAGCTGGACAAAGCAGCCTTTCAGACTACAGCCAGGATTTCTGCATCTTCTTCGAATCCCCCATGATAGCGCCCCTTACCAGCAGGAAGTAGTTTGGAAAGAACAAGGCCCAAATTCCCAAATATTGTCTATAAATGTTAGTTTTCATTTAAATGGATTTGGTTATATAAAATAAATAAATAAAAGATTAAGAGAAAAAATAAAAATAAATAAAATTAAAGAGGGAGCAGGGGATGGGTAAACTATACTCTCCCTTGCTTGCACTTGGCCTAGATGGTGAATTCCTGTTGTTATGAATCTGAAATAGAGGGAACTATGTTCTTAGACTTGGCTGTGTGAAAAGTCCTTAAGATGCAGCCTTTAACTTAGCAGGCTTATATAATACTATCTGGATGTTCCTAAACCCTGTGTATGAAAACTTGGTCCTCAGCTTGAAGCTATTAGATATTAGTGGAAAAATTTCAGATGAGGTATTATTTGCATGTTTTAGGACATATGGAGTTTTCCATCAAAGGAGATTATGGAATCTGGGCTCTACCATTTCTTCACAGTGTGAACAGGCATCTCTCTGCTGCAGACCACTCCTGGTGAACCACAATTCCATTGTCACTGCAAGGAGAAAGCAAATCATTAAGTGCATCCATGTTACAGAATATACCTTTCACTTTATAAATTCATTCTCTCAGGGGAGTTTGTTTTAGTAACTTCATTATAAATTTATAAATTATAAATTTATAAATTCATTCTCTCAGGGGAGTTTGTTTTAGTTCTTCTAAAATTCTATTAGATGCAAAGGGGTAACAGATCCTGAAAGTCAAGACTGAAGGTACCTGTTAGTACCATCTCAATATTTTTAGATGATGGCCAATGTTCATTTTCACCCACATCTGCATTTTTCCTTCTATGATCTCAATGATAATGTACAGCTGAATGCTAATCTTTATTGTGATTTTAGAAAGAAGTTAGATCTTGGAATTGGAGGACAACTGGGTTAAGAGGCTCTGTCGTCTTGAATGGTATTAATTCCCTTGTAAAAGAGACTCCTGGGAACTAGCTTAACTGTACTATTTAGGAAAAATTATGGAAAAGAAGCCATGCATTAGACAGATGCTACCAGAACTGAGTCTTCTTCCACCTTGATCATGTTCATCCCCCTCTCTGACAATGTAAAAATAATTATGAACTTGATAGCAGTCCTAGTTGAAGAAGACACACTCCTTCAGCCAGACCCACACTTAGCCCATGGTAACCACAATCTCAGAGAAATGACAGCTATTTCCAAAGCTCTAGTAAAAAGTTATGAATGTGATATTTGAATTGAAAATTTGAAGTTTTATAAAACTTCAGTGCAGAAGATTTTTTATGATACTGTAATATATACAAATTTTCACTAAACTGAGAAGAATTACGTTAAAATAATGAAGATAGAGGAAGACTGGTGTCTTGGTTGACACCTTGTGAAGGAGGGAGAGGGAATTGTAGATTTCAAGAGCTTCTTTTCATACCTGTTATAAACATTTATTATATAACAAAATTGTTACCTGCCTCTGAAAAATCTAATAACAACCACTACCAAATCTTTATGTTCCATTTGTGAATAAACTCTACCTCCCTTATTGAAGCTTCTATCGAATGTAGTTTTACATGTCACAGTTTGAGAAAGGAAGGCAGAGCTTTCATTCTTTTTTTTATTTCCTTTATTTTACATATTGATCCCAGTTTCCTCTCCCACCTTCTCTCCCTCCCATGAACCCCTGACCACCCTCCCATCCCATTCACACACACCCCCATTCCTCAGGGAGGGTGATACCTTCTTGGAGGGATCAACAAAATATGTCATTTGAAGTAGGGACTAGGCCTTCCCTCCTGCCTCTAGGCTTAGGGAGTATCCCTCCATGTGAAATGTGCTCCCAAAGTCCTTTCATGCACCAGGGATACATCCTGGTTCCACTGTCAGGCCTTCTAAGGGAGACACATGTTCATGGGCTCTTTGTTGGTCCAATGCTTCTTTCCCAGCTATCCATCTGGGAGACCATTAGCTCCCCCTGGTTCAGGTTAGCTGTCTCTGTGGGTTTCTGTAGCCTGGTCTTGTCCCCAATTTTTTATCACTCCTCCCTCTATGCATCTGAATTTTAATTCAACTCAGTGTTTAGGTGTGGGTGTCTGCTTCTGTTTCCATCAGCTACTAGATGTGGGCTCTATGATGGTAGATAATTTAGTCATCAATCTCATTAACAGTGAAGGGCATTTAAAGTAGCCTTTCCTCTGTTGCTCAGATTATTAGTAGGGGTCACCCTTGGAGGTCTCTGTACATTTCTTTAGAGTCAATTTTCTCTTCAAACCTATAATGGCTCCCTCTTTATGGTACCATTCTTTTCATTTCTCTTACCTTGGCTCATGAGACACATGCTGCCATCGGCTGCTAAGAGTGAGGCCAATATGCAAAATGGCTGTCTCTACTTCACAGAGATGGTCCATTCCATGTCTTTCTGAAAGCCCACTCTAAACAAAATAGCTTCTATACTTTCCATATGTGTCTACTTGTTCTACTCTTAGTACACTATGGTAGAAGTATATGGAGGTCTGAGGCCATCATATTAAGCTCCTCTCAGATGACTCAAATGGTTTAGAATTGGAATGTGAAATGCACCATAGGGGTCAGGACTTGAGAGCTTGGATGCTGACTGAGAAGTTTGGGGAATGTATGTGGGTTCTGAGAGCTCTATTGTAATCAGTAGGCAGTTTTATTACTGAATTATTAATTTGGTTTCCTGACTGACAATGGATAGAAAGTATGAGATACAGTCTAGTTACAACAAGTAGTTCACTGGGGTCATGTCAAGGAATGATGAACCCATCCTAACCCCCCCCCTTTTTTTTCACCTTTCTCTATTTCCTGCTACCTTACATGAGGTAGCTTCATCCACTAACTCTGACACAAGATACTGTAGCATATTTTTTTTTCACATAGGCTTGAATCAGTGGATTTTTCTGCTGCAAATCATAAACTAAAATAAAGCCTTCCTCATATTAAATGTTAGGGTCCGAATATGAAATACCCTACAGGGCTCTGAAATTGAGATCTTGAATGCCAACTAGGGAGTTTTAGAGATATGACTGGATTATTAGGGCTCTGTTTTAGTCAGTGGGTAGTTCTCACACTGGATTCATAATTTGCTTTCCTGACTGAAAAGCCATAGAATTTGTAAGAGTAAGGGGGAAAAAAGAGTAAAAGCAACTTAAACAAAACTCAAACACAAAGGAAAGGACAACAAAACCTGGCATTCCCTCTGTGGTTCATCTAGAACTTCTGTTATATTTGACCTATAGGGCAACCTAGAAATCCATTAAGGTTAGATTATAAATGTCATCAGAACCATAGATTTGGCCTTTCTGTGGTATTGGCCAATAGTAAAATTCGAAATTTTAATTAATTTTTCCCCACAATATATACTGAAAATATATAGGACACTTCATGAATTTGCATGTCATCCTTTCACAAGGGCTATGCTAATCTTCTTTGTGTCCTTCCAATATAGTATATGTGCTGCTGAAGTGAGCACTTGACAATAACAACTAGTACAAATATGTGATAATGTGAGCCAGACATTTCATCAAGCTTAAGAAAACCTGACAAGCCACGGGATGTATGTTAATGTGCTGCTCTTTCACAGGAGCTGCTTTCTTATTTATGACAAATCAGTGTTGCCTTAGGTCAGTACTTAAATCCTCATTACAGTGAGTACTTGAATGCTTTAGAAACAAAATAAAATGAATATTAACAATAAATATTGATTGTAGCCTAAGTGAATGTGTGTGAACTCTATTGACTTTTGGGAATACAGATAAAGGCAAATACACACGCAGTGTGTATATGTGTGTGTGTCTGTGTGTCTGTGTGTGTGTGAGAGAGAGAGAGAGAGGGAGCAGAGTGTCACACAAAAACATGGAGAGATGGAGAGACAAAGAAAAAGACAAAGAATTGGAGAAAATGAGGAGAAATGATCCTATCAATTTCTTTGATGAAATTTATATAAGCTTGGAATTTCACTTGCATTCCAACTGTAATTTGTACTACATTATTTGGTTATTACTGGTCATCTATTTCAAACTGAAAGTTTGTTAGGTACCTAAGACATATGTTATTTTATTGATACATTGTTAGGAAGCACATACAAAGACAAACACTCTTTTTAGTAGACTTATAATTAAAATAATTTTGTATAGGAATTACTGATATAGCATGAAATATAAATATATAACGAGAAAATTTTTACACTTGGAAATATAATCAGTTTTGAAATTATTGGGAATCTACAGTTGATATTGTCTTAGTCTAGGGGATGAAATAGACTATTTTGCTCATGATTCCATATAACAGTTATGCAACCAATGCAATAAAGGCAGGAACTCACACAGGTACCCATGGAGAATTGCAGCTTACTGGTTTCTTTGCCATGGCTTCCTCAGCTTGACTTTTATAGAACCAAGGACCACCAGCCTAGGGAGAGCACACCCACAGTTTCCTGGGCACTGCACCATCAATCACTAAGAAAATACCTTATAGGCTTGCCTACAGGCTGATCTTATAAAGACATTTTCTTAATTGAGGTTCTCAGATGACTTCAGTTTATGTTGACACAAAACTCTCCATCACAAACACATCGCCATTAGTTTCCTTTCTCCTTCTTCCCTAATATTTCATATTAAAAGCATAAATAACTTGAAAAGTCCTACAAGAAAATCTCACATTAAAGAAATATCACATAAAATTTTCTCACACAAATAACTTGCAAAGTCCCACAATTTGTTTACAAATTCAAACTCATTTAACGTTCAGTCTCTTAAATGTCTAATCTCTAAGAATACAAAATTTCTTTTAAAGATCAAAGCCTTTATGTAAATTTCTTCTGTAACTTTCAACATTAAGTTAAATACTTTTGTTACCAGCATGCATTTCTTCCGGCCTGGTCCCACAGTTGCGCAAGCCCCAAATAACACATAGAGACTCTATATTAGATATGAAGCTGTTGGCTTGTTACAACCGTTTCTTAAATATTAAACCATTTCTATTAATCTAAGTATTTCCACATGGTCTTATCTTACCAGAGAAAGGGCCAGAACCTCTGCTTTCTCCATCCAACATGTTGAATCTCCTCCTACCTCCTCCTGGAAACCTCCTTGTATCCTAGTCCCACCTATCTTGCTTTCCTACTGGCCAACAGTGCTTTATTCATTAACCAATAAGAGAAACATATTTACAGAAGGACATCTCCTCTTTTATATCTAAATAAGAGGAAGTGATGTAACCTTAACATAGCAAAATATATAACAAAACAGTTATTAATAAGAACCACAGTTAATAATATTTAGTTAATTAATATTTAGCAAGATTTAAAGAAATTATCTTTAAGAGAGAAGAACCAAAGCACAGTCATACCGTGAACAAAGAAAAACAAACTTAGTGTCCACTTATCTGGGATATACTCAGTTTTCTGGTGACTGCTTAGGTTCTGCACTTACAGCATTCATCTAGGCTCTTACTGGCTCCCTTACATAGCTGCTGTTGCTCCTAGTGGTCTTACAAAGTGTTGGCATCTCTAAAATTTCTGAGATACCCTGTTGCTACCGTACTTTCACAAGTAGCCTCTTCTGGGCTCTCTTCATGGTGTCAAGCCTCAAATTCTCTTGCATGACCCTTTCAATCCTGAGCCTTCTAATGGTGCTGAGGCTGTGGCTTCACCTGTGGCTTCCCTGTCTTATCACAGTTCCAAGACTTACTTGCTTTCCATGACGACACTTCAAAACCAACACCATCTGGTCGAACTTGTCCACACCACAATACAGAATCCACACCTGATCTTACCTGGATGGACAGTAACCAGAGGCAGTATACCCCAGAGATTCAGGATCGTACCAAACATGACTAAGAAAAAGCAAGTCAATGAAATGATTCTAATGATATTCAGGTATATTCATAGTTCAATAATCAATTCAATCAACTAGCAACAGAAGAGAGCAAATGCAGAGACCCACAGTCCATACCCACACAATAAGTAGCATTAGGAAAATTCCTCCACAGAGGGGGAGGCAGGATTGTAGAAGCAGGAGAAGTTGAGGACATCAGGAGAATAAGGCCCACAGAGTCAACTTATCAGGGCTCATAGGGCCTCACATAAACTGAAGGAGCAATCATAGAGCCTCGATGAATCTTCACTAAGTCCTGTGTAAACATGCTGTAGATTTATAGTTTGGGGGTTTTTACTGGACTCCTAATGTGGCAGTGGGATAATCTCTCACTCTTTGACCTGCTTGTGGCACCCATTTCCAAATACAGGATGCCTTGTCCAGCCTTGATATGAGGGTTTGTACCTATTCTTATTGTATCTTATTATGTCTGTTTGGTTCATACACCAGGGAGGACTGGTCTTTTCTCAAGGGAAAAGGAGAACAGGAGAAAATGGGGTTGAGAGAAGTCGTAGTTGGGATTTATTAAAAAATAACAAAGGAAAAAATTAATTATAGCCCAAACTAAATTATCTTCAAAAATACTTTCTGTAATATAATTTGGGGAAGTAAAATATATGTGGAACAACTTCAAAACAAAAGAAGTAGCTTTGTTTTAATTCACTCAATTCTGTCCAACTTCAATGGGGCCCTCCCATTTTTATGGATGAGAAAGGCTACCTTCACATCTCATATTTGAACACAAAGTTTTGTTCTTTGGCTATTTCCTAACTTATGAATAAATGCAAAAAAAAATTAAAAAAAAAACACATTTTCCTTTACTGTCAGTATTTCTTTTTCTGTAAAATATCAGACTTACTTGCACACACATGGATGCTATTCTTTTTATTCCAATCATATCATGTTTTTTTTCTAATTATGAATGCTATGCAGCCTACCACTTGCTTCATTGACATTTATGACAATGAAGCTCGGTTGTTTCTCTAATGTCTTAACAGACAAGATAACATTGACCTTTTGAAGATGAAGATGAGATATAATACAAAATGTCTGTAGGAATGTGAGAAATCCTATATTTTCCGGGCATTAGCTTTCTCTAATTTGCAAAAATAATAACTTACTACTGCTTATTTAAAGACACATTATTATCAAAGTCACTAGCATATATATTTATTATATTTAAATATTAATTTATTATTACATAAGTCTTTAGTAACTCAGAAATTTTCTACCTTGATGCTTTATCATATACAAACTGTGAAATTGAAGAAGCAAAAGAAAGTTTCTGAAAGAAAATGCTCATTTCTGATACTCTTTTTTTTTTTTGTGTGTGTGTGTGTGTGTGTGATAGTGATTAATGATACCTGACTTTACTTGTCTTCTATCAAGTTCTTCCAGGTTCTGTTTTAGAAGAGAAGCTTAACCTTTCTCTACTTGATCAAGGGTATTGGGAGTCTCATGGATAATGACAGACTACAAATAAGAACTCGTGGATATAAAGAGTTTGAAATTTTAAAGTGTATAAATAGGGTAAAAACAGATTCTTCTCAAATGCTTCTTCTTATCCAGCGTTTGGATCATTTCCTATGAGATACTTTAAAGTAGCAACAAAACTTTTAAATAATAAATTATTTATTCAAATGTAGTAATGAACCAGCAATTTATGCATGCAAATATGTATAAAAGATTTGAGCTATATTAATATAAGAGGGTGTGGCTCAATTTTCATGGTATTATAGGAATATTTATATAATTGTATCTAATTTAGTGAAACATAAAACAGGAAAAATGAACAATATTCTATTTATACAATAAAATATCTGGCAAGGAAGAAAATGTGCTGGTCACATGAAAATTTTAATTTATATGTCATTGAACTCTAGCTGTTTAGATGTACCAGACACTTTCATGTGAATTTAGCAAATTTATTGTGATCCTGGCAATATCTCTTCCCTGTGTCCTCTCTTACAGTCCATTACCTGTCTACATCTACAGGACTCAGAAAGTCACCATCACTGCATATGTGTGTGTGTGTGTGTGTGTGTGTGTGTGTGTGTTAACCAAAAAATAAATATATAATCTACAGAATTAAAATTTAAAACAAATGGAGGTTCATCATTTTTGTTGGTTAGATTTAGACATGCCTAGAAAATTGGCAAAGCATACTCCAGGGCATATGATAGTATTTCTACAGAAGACTAACTATAGGTCAGTGATATGTAGAAAGAAGTTCCATGTAAACCAAATTAACATAAACCAATAGGCCTGAATCCTGGTGGATTGCAAATGGGGGTGCTAATAGAAGCACATTTTACTCCACATGAGGGAATCTGACACTACTATGTTATCAACTATACATGTTAAGAATCCATATTCTTCAACCTTTGAACGTAAAAATGTCCAAGGGTACTTTTGTGCTTTCATACCTATTTGTCTTACTTATTCTGAGACTTCTGCCCTTTGATAATGAGTTACTACTATTTCTCCAGCTCTCCAGACTATGTATAATTATAATAAGACCATGTGGGCTATAACTTTCTACACCTACAGAAGAAATTCCCACTCATATGTACTTTCAACTGGGTAACTGTGACAT